GATATCTACGTTCAGAATCGCCTGCACGGCTCGTTTGTATTATTTATTCCTTACGTTTTACATTTACTAATAAAATATACACATGTGACACAAATAGCTGATTCGTTTTATTTCTCAACCTGTTTCAAGTTATGTTCAAGTAAGAAGGTCAAAGTCTATATTCAGCTAAGTCAATGAAAGGCATAAATAAATTATCCCCTGCTGAGGATAAAGGCCTGTGTATACTCGCGACAAAATGTCGTATGGGTCAAATTACAATAAGTGAATAGTAGTGTAATGTGATCTTTTGGTTGCGTTAGAATATGGAATGTCTACTGCTTGTAGATAAGTACTTAGTAAAATATGCATCTCTTAACTCGGAAATATATGCAGTAGTAAAAAAATAAATCAATTAAGACAAATAAGATAAGACCATAGAAAGTCTTATTGTATTGTATCTTCTATCTGCATTTTTTTTAAGGCGGAACATCATCTAATGACTGCTCCCGCCTGTGTGAGGCGCAAAGACTACTATAGTATAGGTACTGGCTAGTGAGGCGGGAGAGTGTCAGGTCAGACTCTTACTGACTAAAAACCACCCCGTTCCTTCTCCTGCACGTCGAGCCGGAGTCCCGGTTACCCGTTAGGTTCTCCGCGACATCTATCTGCATAGAGATGCATTTCAATGACAAAATGGGAATTTTCGAACTTTTTCTTGTGGAACGTGTGATTCAGGCCCAAGTCACATGACACTGTCACCAACGAGGACAAGGTTAAATTAATTAAGATCGCAGTTTATTTAATGTCCACGTTTATCTTGGATCCATTCCACTGCTCCGTTGGAAACTAATAAACATGGAAGAATCGATATTTATGAGATAATGAAAGTCTTTGGAATTTTTGCTCGTCATAAAATATGATTAGTACATTTTTATTACTACTATACGATAGAACAAAAATCGAAATGCAAGTGTTATCAGATTATGTGCTTATCAATAGCGCCACCTTTGTACGGTATCACTTTATCCTGGTAAATATGATATGAGAGTACAATAAAACAAAGTAACTGCTTCCACATAATTCCATATATTCGCTGTATATTATCTAATACTGCTAAAAACTAAACACAAAAAGCATGGCAAACACGTCGATTACAGTTTAATAAAATACTTCCTGCAACAGGCTTGGGACAACACAGATACAAAATAGAATATTTAATTATACAACAAAATAATTGAACAGATTTACCCAACACAAGGAGAATACTTTAGTTTCATGGAATGGTAGTTTATAACTTGCAACATTTTTTGCACTTAATACAATAACATACAAATAAAGTAATATTAAAAGAAAGAGGAGTCAAAATGAGATTATGCATAATCCAACAATGTGGTAAACAAAACAATCCTACACATAGATCGCACACATCACTAACCAGTGGCACTTCGTATTTGTGCAATATTACATGCTATCATTAATTACATATACTCAATACAATGATGCTTAAGTACAGAAAAATACATGAAATATTAAAATTAGGCCAATAATGTCAATGATCCAATCATAACCTCTATCATACAACTGTTAAACTACATTTTGGTGCAAGAAGCCATTATCCATTCACTGTGTGAAATACATCTGTTATCAAAATCTTATGACGATGGTAAAACCTTCGAAAATTTAGCACCACATGTTGGCTTCTCACTATATTTAAATACTGAATTCGTTTTGCAATTATTATACAAACGCGAACGCTACAACCTTGGTCATTTCATGGCAATGTTTAAAAATAAATGAGCAGTTTTTGAGTAGAATAGTTGATTTTGATTGAGTTCAATAGATTGATTGTGATATAGACATGTAGAATTGACAAAGTTGCAATCGATTCTGCTGATATTCACTTAACAGGACACAATACTTATACATATATATAAATATAGTGTACATAGAGTAATAGTAATACAATTCTAGAAAGTAAAAATACAACATGCATAACACATATTAATATGGCGAGAGACGACAGGTAAGATATGATACTACAGAGAGATTTAGGGAGCAAGAGGACCTTGCAAATGATATTCAAGAGTTTGAGGTAAGAGTAGCGGAGGGATCAGTTTACAATGGGGGCTCATCCCACTTGACATGCTTCTCAGGTGTGAGGTGGACGATACGGACATGGACAGCTTGGTTCTTCTCAAACTTGGGGGGAATTGGACAGAGTCGGTATATTACTTCGTCGCCTGGCAATGGTACATATTCACCTTCAATACTGCAAAACAAAAATGATTGAATAACACAGCAACTTTTCAATACCAAAGTCAAATCTTAAACTGAACTATTGTTTAAGATAATAATGTATTACATCATTATGTTAGCAGTAAAAATGTTTGTTAATTTAATCTTGAAATGATGAACAAACATAAAAAAAGTGCTGGAGAAACAAAAAAAAAATCAGTCATTATTGTTAGACTAGTTTGACTATGCTTTGGTAAAAAAAAACATCTTTTTTTTCTACTGTAACTCATATCAACAACAAAGACAAACAAAGAACACCTACATTTGACCTCTAAATGTGCTAAAACAAACTGCCTAAATGTATAAAACAATAATTTATCTGTTATCAGCTACAATACTGGTTGGTAGCTACAAAAATGTGTGAGTAATATTAATTATGTTCAATACTTCTGCCTGATGTATGTTGTTTATGTTTCAAGAGCCAATTTTTTTTTCTATTGTCTTCATTCATCATGTTCATAAACAATGTCTGGTTTTGAGAGACCATGAAGTTGTTTATGTCATGTAGGATGAAAAAAAAGACACATTTATTACGGTTACTGAATACATTTATAGTTTTATTAAACATTTTAAAATCTCGGTTACGTATGTTAATCATACAGATTCTAATTGGAAGACAAATTAGAGGATAAGGTAAATTGAAGACCAAAATGTTTTAACTAAATCTACGAAATAAATTAGTAAAATTAGTTCTTATTTAAAGAAACAAGATACTTACTCGGAGATGTGGACAAATATATCTTCGCCACCTCTTTCAGGGGTAACAAATCCATGTCCTTTTGCTCGGCAAAAAGACTTGATTTTCCCACTTTCTATAGGATTTCCTAGGGCCCTTTCAGACCTAAAGTAATACAAAAAGTATTGAGACTTTTTCTTTCTACATTAATTTACAATTTAGAAAAATACGTAGTGAACTAGTGACACAGAAACTTACGTCGACGCTGTTCGGTTCCGCCGCGTAATTATAGGACTCGGCAGTTGTAGATGTGTGTTTGATTTATTAGGCGAATCATCACTGTTAAACCCGTAATCATTAGACATGATTACAGATCACAATACTGTTTTCCAGAAATAAATTTGAAAATTATAAACAAGAGGAACTTCGCAAGAAGGAAGCAAAACAAAATGTCAGTCGCTTAGTGAAATGTCAAGACTGTCAGATGATGCTCAAAAGAAAACTGTCAAATTAAATCTACGTTTAGAAACGACACAATCATAAAAGAATAATATTCTAGTCATATTTTACTGACTGTAGTTTGCAACGTGTAGCCTGTAGCGGATTCGATTTCCACACGGAGCATTGTGTGATCTACAAATGGTTGTTTCGGGTCTGGGTGTCACGTGCATGTGAAAATATATATTTGTAAACTCACCCACGACACAGGAGGAAATCCTAGTGTGGGGCAACGATTAAAAATATTATATTGGAAATTTAAAAAATCTCAAATAAAACACTGAGTCTGTTAACGTATCTCATTGGGCGCCACCGGCTGTGGCACCGTGGCTTATCTTCATCAGCCCGTGTTTGTCCATTTCTGGCATGCCACTGAGCTCGGTCTTCAGCTCTTTTCATCCAACCACTACCAGTCAACTTGCAGATGTCGTCACTCCACCTAACTGGAGGGTGCCCAACACTACGTTTGCTCAGACGCGGTCTCCACTCTAGAACACGTTTACCCCAACGGTTATCGATTCTTCGACAAATGTGACCGGCCCATTGCCACTTCAGATTACTAATCCTTTGGGCTATATCAATCACTTTAGTTCTCTGTCGGATCGCTTCGGATTAGACATTAAAGATAATGTTTTAAATTTTTATGTTTTATCCTTATCCTTGCATATTAGATCAAAAATATCTCAAAACCTAGATGTTGTAGCTAAAAAATAAACAAACGAACTTTCCTAGAAATACACCTTCAAAAGGGTGTATTTAATTAATGATTGACTTGGTTGAAGGAACCTTGACTGAAGTGGACCCATAAAACTTCTAGACAGAAAGGTTAAAACACGGATGGCAATTATTGAAAAAGTTTACATACTTAATAATTTGGATAAAAGTCAAAATGATGGATAACGTTTTCCAGATAACACTGATGTACCTGCCCGTGAGCTACCTGTTTGTCTAGTCACTGTAGATGTCGGAAACCCTGTCGTCTCCTTTTCTCAATTAGTTTTGTTGTAGGTTTGATATTATTAATTTCTACCAAAAACTACTACCGTGTTGTATTTGGTAGTAAACGCAAAGACCAAGCAAGCAAGGTCTCCAGTTAGATTCCCGGTTTGGGCAAAGTATTCTTGGATTATTTTCATTTTCTGTTATGTTAGAAAGGAAGTAGGTAATGATGAAACTCGAAAAATAAAATTTAGATTTTATTTTAACACTTCTACTGTACATAGATTTGTGTATTATTGTGTAATGTCACATTTTTGTTTCTAATACATAATTTAACATACATTTTAATCGAAAAATTGTAAGCAGACATTCATATTGTCAAACCTTAACTAAGTATAATAATAACAATCTACATTAAAAGTATATAAGATGATAACATTATTTTTTTATCACAAGTTTCACTCATAAAATTATCACATTATTATTAAAACACCAATCATAATAATTACAATATAAGTTATTTTATTTTCACATAGTTCGAATACTAAGTACATAAAATAATTATGCATGTAAATGTTAACACTAGCAATATAATTATGATAATAGATTCATGTAATTTTTTTAATCAATTTTCAACCTTATTTTATTGCAATTATGGTGAAAATTTATTGATTGTGTTTCTAACTCAGCGACCACACCCCATAATCATTGTCGAGACTTGGTCCTGGAGGAGGATTACATTACCTTTTAAGTTGACCCCAAATAATCAGAGAGTTGCTAGATTTTACAGTAGATTTTGTGGTACTTTCAGCATTTCAAAAACAGATATTTTATTGCATGTAATCCTTAAATCTAACGCATGTTTAAATTACATTACTTTTACTTATTTTTTAATCGTCATATCAGGGCATATCCTTTGTTCAGCTGGCAGGGGCAACTTGATCTTTGGTATCCATATTCCTTCCCAGTCGCCCTGGAAAACAAACCATGTCTCAATAACAATAATGAACATATTCTTTCATATCAGGTGTTCTCCTAGGTACCTTAGAAATACATCATGCCTTTTTATTGAGGGGGGAAATTCATCCAATGACTTCTCCCGCCCGGCTGAGGCGAGAGGAAGTGTCAGACTCTTACTGACTAAAAACCACCCCGTTCCTACTCCTGCACTTCGAGCCGGAGCCCCGGCAACCCGTTAAGTCTTCCGCGGCTCCGTATCGGCCCGCGGCTCCGTATCAGCAAATACATCGTGCCTGGGGAACAAATATTTCTGGCCCTCAAAAAGATTTGCTGCACGGTTGCGGTCTATACACATGTATTACTTGATTACTTACTCAAAATATATTGTAGTACAGATAAACAGAAAACCGATGAAAGTTTAATAAACAGCACAAATGTGTGTAACATCATTGTAATTGTACAACATTTTCGACTTTATGTCGATAGAATAAAGTTGAAGATGTAATAAGAGAAATATGACAGAAAAAGTACAATTGACCTGCCGGCCACCGTACATGCCCAATTTCCAAAAGGCCAGAAACGCACTTAGACTGCATATCATAAGGTGATATGTCAACTCGTTTGTCAGTTATCCCATAAAAAATGCTATCCTACCTGGAATCGACTGCCATCGGACTTGTTGCATTGCATGGATATCGGAGAGTCAGTATAGAGGGCGTGCAGAGAGCTAGCTCGGAGGTGTGTCCAAGGCTTGATGGCGAGGTAGTTGTTGCGGGGGGACGCTGTGTACGAGATCGACATGTTGTCCCAACTGGAACAAAAATTGCAGAACTTAAAGTGAATGCCTAGATAGTGCTCGCCATACATTTTTCAGGTGTGGAAATCTCCGTAAATAAACTGTTTCTGCAGAATGAAAGCAACTATAATGAGACTTTATAATGTACTAGCGACCCGCCCCGGCTTCGCACGGGTGCAATATGTATATACATACAAACCTTCCTTAACTCGCCGAGTACCGGTTTTGCAGACACAATTATAGAACAATAGGTTGCGGTCACCGGTGACCGCTTGGTGTTTGACAGTTTAAGAATGACTCTATCTATTAAAAAAAAACCGCATCAAAATCTGTTGCGTAGTTTTAAAGATCTAAGCATACATACGGACATACAGCGAAAGCGACTTTGTTTTATACTATGTATTGATTATGTCGCGTATGGAAAATCTTTTGTTTGAGAAAAACTCCAAAATAGACATTAGGATGATTAAGAGACTAGGAAACTGTTTTGTTCTCCTAAATAACCTCTTCCTCTTTCTCCTTGACAAAGAATAGACCATATATTTTTTCTGGTGAGGTGTTCAAAAATCTCATGTTATGTCAAATGGAAAGTAGCTACTATAATTCTATGGATGCAGCACTAAAGATACCACTAGTGCATCGTCAACCACATCCACCCTATTTTTGAGAACTGATTAAATCAATGGACAATTTCAAACATTTATTACTTATAGTTATCTTACCGTTTCTCAAACTTGAAGTAGCTTTCTAGAGCAGCGTTAGAGACAGCACTCTTGCAGACCTCGAGTTGTGTGGCGGGGTAGTAGTGAATATAGTTGACACACATCTCGTCTGTGATCGCGTGACCACCGATAGTAGCGTTGTCCTTCTCCTCCGTATTGTAAATACAAGTCGTTTCTAGGAAATCTCCCTGGATAAATCAAAATGTGTATAATAAAACATACATAATAAAATCGTAGAAAAGTCAAAACTTTACGTTTAATATTTTTTTAAAAGAATACTTGAGAATACAATCGATACCGAAGCCAAAAATATGGTTCTTAGAATTTTTTATCTGTGTGTCTGTATGTATGTCCGGGATAATCTCCAAAAGTACTACATGGATTAACTTCATGCATGAATATTACTAAAAGGTCGGGTCAACATATAGGCTACATATGATCACGCTATCATCTACCGGGGAGGAGTTGTGAATCATAATTTCATACGAACGAAGTCGCGGCACAGCTAGTACATAATAAAACTGACTAATAGTACTTCTTGACTTGATTATTTCGGTTTTTTAATATACCTACTTTACGATTTGCTCACGTAACTATTTAATGAGGTACCTCGTAACTACTCGTCGCTGACGACTATAAGCCCTTGTATGGCTTGAAACTAGTCCAGCTACTTCGTCAAACATTTACAAGAGTAAGCCGTTAAACTTAATTAAACGAACGTCTCACGAGAGTCATAATATATTTTCCAGTACTCTTAACTTTAATATTTAATTTAGTATTATAATATGTTCTGTGTTCACCATCCATTTATTATACTTACGGGGAAAACATTTACAGGTCTGTGTAGAATCCTAATCTCTTGGAAATGTGTGGAGTAGTGTACGTCCCTGTTGAGGTAGGGTAGTTCCACGCCTTGACGCGAGTGCCTCGTCCAAACCGCTACGCCTGTCAAGTGCGTGTGTAACTGACTGCCAAAGACCACTATACCGTCTGGTGGTAGACCCTGCAAATAAGAGATTTTTAATGAAAATCTGGTGCAAATATTTGATTGAAGTATATTTAATATCTTTAAGGATCTTTTCACTACATCTTATTAATTTAGTTTATAAAAATCAGGATATAGTTCTATCTGTCGTTCTATTGCTTAAATACTGAACCAATTTTTATGAAAGTTGGTACAGAAATAGACCTAGAGCGTAGGACAGCCCCCCCCCCCTTCATGATCTGTTAGCATTAGCAGGTAGTATTATACTTGCAAGATTCTATTATATGATAGAATGAAGACTGAAGATACTACTATCTGTAATACAATCATATTTAAATATAAATGTGGTTACTCACCACACCCGTACACTGTGGAATACAATAACCCGTCAAAGGAAAAGCTTTCTGCCTTCCAGGAATCGCCATTTTGTCCGTATACTCCAACCCGAGTTCCATGATAGCCGCATCGTATTTTCGTTTTTCGCCGGAAATGTGGAGAATTATACCTGAACTGTCAACCCAGTCTGGAAATAAAAATAGAAATTACTATTAAGTTTATATGGGTCAAGGTAAATAATTACAATTGCCATACTGATTGTCTTGTCGGTCGACTGTTTAGAGTGACGGGTTCGATTTTCGGGTCGGGTCGGTTGGGGTTTTATTGGATTTTGGTAACGGGCTCATCCCTCATTACATGGTAGATATTCCAAAAGATAACTTTAATGTAAGATATGTCTAACTCCCCATTTTTAAAACTTACTTTCGATTAAAATAAAGTTTGAATATAAAACGTACTTACCTTTCCTCATTTCCGGATTATTGTAGTGCACTTCGAGCATAATGAATTTGTTTGCTTTCGGTCCTCCGAGAGGCAGGCCGGCCTCCTTTGGATACACGAAGGGAGGAGCTCCCATTGCCCAAGCCGCTTTTACCTTTACAATAATATTTATTTTACTATACTATACTATACTAGGTCGGGCGTGAGCCAGGGTAGCAATGTAGGGCCTCTTGAGTTCATCATAATGATAAATGACTTACCGGAAGTTGTCAGGCATGGGAGTTGTTTATTGTTTGCAGATGACCTGAAGTTACTACTCAAGGTTGAAGATAGCTCGGATTGTGAACGCCTGCAGGATGATATTGATCGAGTGGTTGAATGGAGTAATGTCAACAGACTTCACTTTAACGTGGACAAGTGCTCGGTGATGTCATTTACTCGTGCTAGGGCTCCTTTGTGGCATCAATACAGGGTGAAAGGCGAGCCGATGCAACGAGTCTCACAGGTACGAGATTTAGGGGTAGTCTTCACTCCAGAACTGACATTTCGTGAACACATCAATAAGATCTGTAGGAAGGCATACAGGAACCTGGGCTTTGTACTCAGACAAACTCAGGGGTTCACCAACATCACGACACTCAGGGTACTGTATGACACATTAGTGCGGAGTCACCTCGAGCACAGTGCAGTTATATGGGCACCGCACGAGGCGAAATACAGCGTCATGTTGGAACGTGTTCAAAATAAATTTACAAGGCACTTGTATTTCAAACTTTATGGAGTTTATCCATTTTACCCCCTGATGTACCCTACTCTATTTGTTCTGGGTATGGTAGGGTACAACGAGCTCAGGGTGCGGAGGGACTTTGCGTTGGTAGCGTATGTGGTGAAGCTGCTGCGCGGCGTAGCGCATAATCCGGGGGTGCTGCGACACCTGCAGCTATGTGTGCCGGACCGTTATGTGTGGAAGAGGAGACGCCCGCCTCTCCTCGCTGTGCCGGCAGCCAGAACCAACTTACTGGCTGGGGCTCCTCTCACTAGAGCTATGAGAGTAGTGAACGAAGTCCATGAAAGGGTGGATGTATTGTGTTGCAATGTGAGTGAATTCGTAAAAGTTACGTTGTATATATTATGTTATTTAAATGTTAATTAAGATTATTATATCATTTCATTTTTTTAATATTGTTATTTAGTAAGTAGTTCACCGCTGATCTCGTGACCATAAAGTCTTTAGTATTATATCTTTTTTTTTTATGGATAAAGGTTAAGATTAATTAAGTTTGTGTATGCATATATGTATTAGTAATTAGGTACATAGATTTAGTTTTAGACCTAAGCTATCGCAATGGAGAAAACTGTAATGATAGTTTTAGGTAAGGTTTTAAATAAATAAATAAATTTTTCACTTTTTGTACAATAAATATACATTGGTGGACTTAATTCCCAATAATATTCTCTAACAGTCAGCCTTAGTATTACGCTTCTTTATACATAGAGAAGAAGTATATAGTGAGTTTTCTAACATAAATAAGAATTTCCAGAATTATTCCAGCCGCTTACTAAGCCTGCATTTGCACTTACTAAGCTTATGTTATGGGTCTACGTATCAAAAATGTATTCTTTTTAATCAGCATTATTAGTTATGTATGAGAACGTCTCACCTTGGAACATGTCTTAGTGATTTCTGGTCGGTTCGGAGCGAAACAGTTGCCTTCATACAGCGGTATCTCCTTGTCAGGGTCAGCGTCACAGTAGAATACTTCCATATGATGCACTAGACCTTCATTGCCTTTGGTTATAGTGGATTCGAACTATAATAAAAAAAAATAGGTGAGATAAATCAGAAGAAGACGTGAGGAGAATCAAATAGAAATAAATAAGAGTATTGAACTTTGAATTCTGTTTTGCGACCAAATTTAAAATTTTTGATTTGTAAAACATTCGTCTATTACCTACTAATATCTGAATCTGGTACACGAAACAAGACTTAAAACTTCCATGAATTAGGTTTGTTGATGAAAGCCATCTAAAGGTCACACAAACGTGAACACATGAGTCAGGATATAAATTCAATCAATCACGAATCTTTTTTTTCTTCATTATTTTCGCTTATCATAAGTCACAGACATCATAAGACATAAATTGGCGTTTCTATTCAATTTCTAATTTAATCTCTGTACTGTACTGAAATGTCATTTTATTTCAGTGTACTGTATTGAAACGTCATTTTATTTCAGATGTTCCAAACAAAAAGACTACTTTTTTTTAACGGGGGAAACTATCGAATGACTGCTCCCGCCTGAGTGTCAGACTCTTACTGACTAAAAACCACCCCGTTCCTTCTCCTGCACGTCGACCCGGAGTCCCGGTAACTTGTTAGGTTCTCCGCGACTCCGTATCGGTATCGGCCCTGTTGGGCCCCATCTGTGGTGGTCTGATGGCTCTTTGAGGCGCGCGGAATGCGACGCGCCGTACGCTCGGGTCTGTTTCTGGTCGGACGGGGAGCCATCCATGCTCGCCGTCCGCAGGCCCGCGCTTACGGTGATCGGAAATCGTCCCGCGATCCCCGACGCCCGGTGTGTCCTTCGCGATGGCTGGGTTGCGAGGAGGCAGCGCTTCGCTGCCTCACGCGTCCCGCCTCCAAAAGACTACCTTGCATCGTGCACGGCTAGTTCTACGTCACTACGTGTAGTCGACTTTAACTTGATTTAATTTCTTTAATAGTTGTCAGATGAGTTGAAAGAAGTACCTAAATATTTAATATCCTATAATTTCTCACCTGTATAATATGATGATCCTTCTTCGTAACAAACTCCGGAAGCTTGACAACATGGCACCAGTAGGTGGTATCGGCTCCAGGGACTTTAAGGTCCTTGTTAGTTATACGTAGTTGGTACGCATCAGTAACTTGTTTCAGCCCCACTGGAGTGAAGAGACGCACTCTGATGAAGCCATGGTCGTGTGGTGGGGTGCAAGTGAGGCAGAGACCCTTGGACGAGAACAACTTGTCGGTCCCGTGAGCCCAAACTATGTGGACCGTACCGTCCTGTGAAAGGAATGATCACAAACATAGCAATTCTAGTTATTACTTAATACTCCTACGTACTGATAACTATGTTAGGAAACGTGTTAAGGATTTTGACCCCACCCACATTAGGGTTTTCTCTTGTGTCGTGGGTGCATTTACAACAAACATACAAAGCCACACACAGAAATCTCAGACCCAGATCAATTTGTGGAACCCACAAAGACTTTTGCCGTGCGGTAATCTAACCCGCAACTCGTTGCGCAGTGGCCAGTTCCCCATACACTGCGTGAACTGTACAGTCATTGAACTTGACTCTCACCTCAACAATATAGTCGTCATCATCACAGGTGTCGAAAAACCTTTCAAATAGGAAGCTCCAAGAGTCAGGGTCGGGGTGGAAGTTGCCACAGTCTTGCTGGGAATCCCGTAACAATTTCCCTTCATCATCAGCATGCATGTCCTATGAAAACACAAACATTAGCTTGTGAAGTATGATTTTTTAGGAATGTAGGTAGGTAAATGGAGTTAATAGTGGTAAGTAATTTAGATACTCGATCAAAGTCTATGCTTAATATAAAGGATGCCAATTTTTTTTTTAAATGGCGACACTGAATGAGATGGCGAACTCAAAAACTTCTTCCGAAAATGGTACATATTCCGTTAAATAACATAACACGTCTTTTATCCCCGTAAAGGTAGGCAGAGTTGCACATTATGGTACTTAAGACCAGTGTACAATGTAAACCCACTTTTAATTATGTAATAGCCGGTGAGCGTATTGCCATATAACGGGCACATTTTCAGCCTCTGTGCTATTACTGAGATATTTTTTTAAATCTCAGTAGGTAATCATTTGACCGGTTGCAGTCGCAGTAGTCTCCGTTAAATAATAAAATTATTTCTATATAAACAAAACTAGAACAATATCTAGCCATTAACTGGATATTTAGCCATCTAAATTATTAAGTAGACATAACATCACGCCTATTATCCCCGAAGGGGTAGGCAGAGGTGCATACAGAAGTAACACCCACTTTCCACTATTTATGTTATGAGTCCCACGTAATAGGGGTTGAGCCTATTGCCATATACCGGGCACAGTTCCAGGCTCCGTGCTACTACTGAGATTTTTTCAACCCAGTAATACTTTGCCCGACCCGGGAATCGAACCCGAGGCCCCTTGCCCGGCAGTTGCACTTGCGCCCATTTGGACAACGAGGCAGTTATTAAGTAGATATTTACAAAACATGAAATGTCACCTACCTCATAATGATGTTTCCCCTTATAATCTGTCCAAAACACGCAGACATCAGAATTGTTCAGGCTTCCTCTATCAGAGAAGCCCAAAGCAAACCAGTAGAACGTAGGAGCCTTATCCGATATAACTAGTTGGAACTGAATTTTCCTGATTGCATAATTGATCTGCCATTTAAGTAAGAAATCTCCATTCGGATCCAAGACTGATTCACTTTCTGCTATATAGCCTGATAGAAAAAAACAATTAATTGTCGTTTAAAGAACTTCTTATATGGACTCTTAATTTTTAAATTTTAAATTAAAAGCACAGACTGCCCAAAAGAACTACATAACATAACATCACGCCTTTTATCCCCGAAGAGGTAGGCAGAGGTGCACATTACGGCACTTAATGCCACTGTACAATGTAACACCCACTTTTCACTATTTATGTTATGAATTCCATGTAACAGAGGGTGAGCCTATTGCCATACACCGGGCACATTTCCAGACTCCGGGCTACTACTGAGGTTTTTTAAACCCAGTAATACTTTGACCGACCCCGGGAATCGAATCCGAGACCCCTTACCCGGCAGTTGCACTTGCGACCACTCGGCCAATGAGGCAGCCCAAAAGAACTATCCAAGAAAAACTAAATCTCCTAGCAAAAACTTAGAGGCTTCTTCCTAAATATTAAAAACTAAATTCCGTGCTTAATTTTTGACAAAATTAGATAAAAACAGTACTACTTACCATCATTACTCTTGAACGTAAACGAGAAATGAAAACACACATATAGGGATAAAATTGTTACTAAGCACTTTAGCACCATTGCGAGACGGTGGTTTTTAGCACATTGCTTGGATCCTAGACCTGACCGCTTAGTCCGACAGTCGGATAGACAATGAGAAGATCCCTTAGCTCCACAACTATGCAAAGATATATAGCTACGCGGTTCTTATGGAGAGAGGTGACGGTATGTAGGGTTGGTGTACAGTCCACTGAAAAAGTGTTAGGGATTTTGTACAGACGAAAAGATAATGTTTCTTTTATTCTCTTATTTAAGTTACTTCTGCGTAATATGCTTTCCAACTTTACTATACAGCTTCGTAAGTTAGGTAATGAAAAAATATTAGACACGTATTTTTTATTTTGTTGTATAAGAAAACAATACTTAGATAAAACGAATCATGTTTTAGGAGCGGGGGCTAAAACGTCATTTCTACGTATAAAATGTACATAGAAGTGACGTCTCCCGACATTTCAAATCAATATATCGTCGAAACTATTCGTTTCTGTAAGAAAATTATAAATACGTGTCTAATGATTTCAATTAATCTACCAGACGGACATTAAATTAAAAATTAGGCATTTACCCTATTATTATATTTTGTAATGAAATAGATTTTATATAATAATTAGATGACCAATATATACCGACCAAATATTTTTATTAAAATTAAAACATAGCCAAATACGGGATATTCAAACTAGTTATATAACTGAATACGTGAAGATATCCAGAAAGTTCCATATTAATAAATACGTATATCTATCGAAATTGTCGGCACTTGGGCGGTGGAATGCAAGGCGGTGTCGGGCGCTTTATTAAATTCCTGGCGAATTGACGCGCGCGAGATGAGGTCCCGGCAGATTAACATTTTATTTCATTATGGATAGATAGGTTTGTGGTAAACCGTCGTCTATTAAATTATTAGAGATTTAGAGTGCCGATTTGTTTTGTAATGTTTACGAGTGAATGATGCCGATAGTGTAACTTAACTGCTTACGCCCGAATACTGAGAGGCTACTCAATTTTAAATTGTACTTAAATATCGTACCATATCTGTTATTTTACAAAAAAATCGTGCTGACAGAACTATACTTAAGCACGACTTAAAATTAAGTAGCGTCTGACTATTTTACTATCGACATTAATTTCTTATAGTAGAGGACTATCGACATTAATTTGTTATTGTAATTTTTCATTTAATTTTGTTTAAGTAGTAGTTGCTTTAAGTATTTTGAAAAACGTGATTTTTTTTCACTTCATTATCCTTTCACGCCGTGGTTGGTTTTTCTTTCTTTCTTTTTTAATAATTAAAACTAGATTGGTAGTGGCATGTTATACCTATAGGTAAGTTACTAGCCAATAGGGATGCTGACAGGGTTTGAAAATTAAAAAAAAAAATTTAGTCCGTCAGTTAATAACGAAAAAATATTAGACACGTATTTTTTATTTTGTCGTACTTATTACAAAATAATACTAAGTTAACTGTTTAATAAATCGAATTAACGTTTAGGAGTGCTCCCACTCCGTCCGTAAAACGTCATTTCTACGTATAAAACGTACATAGAAGTGACGTCACGCGATATTTGAAACCAATATATCGTTGTTTTAAAACAATCTACCAGACGGACATTAAAATAAAAACTAGTCATTTACCCTATTGAACAACAAAACGGAGGTAAAATAAAATAATACACAGTCTTTAACAGTATATGTAAAATTGTATTATAACGAATACTATTTATAGCTCTACGCTACATTATTATCATCATTTCCTTGCCTATCTACATCTGCTGTTTCACTTGTTTCTTGACTTGACGCGTCCTCTTGTACGGCGTCTTCTGATTTTGATTCTTCTACCGGAGCCGGAGATTCCTGTTCAAAACGAATAAAGACATATCGTTATTGGCGCTACAAAACCTGCCTTGAGCTAATAAAAATCGAATTAATGTACGATATGTATACAATTATGTATTAGGGCGTAGTTAGGTATACGACTGGCCCACACTTGTATACATCTATGTATATGCATAATTGGGTAGTTTCTAGGGTATCAAAATTAAAAATCTAATTAGTTCGTCAGTTAGATAATGAAAAAGTATCAGACACGTATTTTTTTATTTTTTCGTAGTAAGTTGCTATGCTTAGATAAAATGGCGCTAAGTTTAGGAGTGGGAGGTTGTTACGTCATAACGTGCTACAAAATGTGGCACGCTGTGACGTCACACGATATTTCAAATTAATATATCGTCGAAAGTATTTAATTTTGTGAGAAAAGAAAAAATACGTGTCTAAAGTTTTAAATTAATGTACCAGACGGACATTAAAATAAAATTTAGGAAACTACCTTATTGTCATTATGCCTGTCTTCCATTGAAGTAGACATTACAATGACATTAATTTTTTTATAAAGTTATGTAAAACGGCGTCTGCACCTATGGGCAGAATGTTATATCTATACATATAATAAACCTGTATTTTTTTTTGAAGGGTGGAATATCATCGAATTACTTCTCCTGCCTGGTTGAGGCGGGAAGGAGTATCAGATTCTTACTGACTAAATATAAAATAAAACTGTATAAATGTTAAGTCTATATATTGAAAAAAAAATTGTGGAGGGTATTACTAGACAGATACCGAACCCAAAAATGTATTTGAAAAATTTTCTGTCTGTCTGTCTGTCTGTATGTTCACGCATCACGCAAAATATACCAGTCCGATTACGATGAAACTTGGTATGATTATACTTTAATATCCTGGGCACAAGACTAGGTACTTTTTATCCCAAAAAAGAATATCCACGTTAAAACAAACTTAATTGTGCGACTCGATTCCTAGATACAGTTACTATACGAAACGCATATACAAGTTTGTCGAATATTGAAATACCTGCAGGCTGAAGTGATCGGGATAAAATTTGGATCAGAAGTAAATGTGTGTCTGTGGTATGGAGTAACACATATAGGCTTTTTGCTGCAGGGAACGCGGGCGAAGCCGCTGGCAGAAACTAGTCGTTAATATTCTCTTCTAATCAACCAAAAATGGTACAATAAACTTGTGAAAATCATGTAAGAGATGATACCCTCTACAATTGGGTACTTGCCTTAATCAAAAATAAATTATATCGAATGTTCAATACAATTAAATATTATCACTTTCATTAATTCATTTCCAGGAAATTTATAAGAAAAAAGTGTGTTGTCTGACGCTAAAAAAACGTGACGTCACAGTACACAATCTCGTACAAAATTCATAGAAAACTGTCGTTTTTGACAGTTCGAAAAAAATATTGGAATTGGTTAGTTGACAAGTACCACCCTATTAGGTAAATCTCCGCTTTGGTGGGTCCATGTTCATTTTAACAACAATTTTATACAGAGAACAGTAGTCTCTAAACGTTGGAAATAAGGTCTATAATGGAGTGGGTGAGAGAAGACACCAGTTTCCTTAAGGATTTAGAAGGTCACATTTATGAGATCTATTAGTTATTATATCATTTTTTTTAATGTGATGTTTCTTTATGTGCTTTTTCTTCTTTTTCTTTTATTGTAACTGTTTGATTCTCTTTGATTTCTCTTTGTGTGTGTTAATGTAATTGTTATAAAGCCGTGTTAACGTCACAATAATAATAAATAAATTAGGTCTACAAATCTTACCTCTCTTTCAAACAATATAGCCAATTCTACATGCTTAGTCTGCGGGAACATGTCGACGGGTACAGCGCGTACTGGCACGAAGGGCGCTCCCCTCAATGTCTTGGAGGATGGCCGGCTGAGGTCCACGAAGTTCTTCACGGCTGATGATGGACTACACGATATGTAGACCAGGCGAGTCACTTTACGTGTGTTCCTTAGCTGTGTCACTGCTCTCATGTCTGTCGAAATTTTATGTTTTACGGCTCACTCATGTTTCATGATTATAGGTCCCTAGCGTGGCTTGAAAACAGTTGAGTTACCCAAACGTTAACTTTAAAATCATTTTGGTTTTATTATACCTACCTAATACTAAGATTCAATGTGTATTATTTCATTTTGTGTACAATAAATAAATGTTATTTTAAAAATCACGTTATATTTTGGATGTCCAAGGAATTCAAATTTAATTCAATATAGTATCGCAAATAGACAGATCATTTTAGTGCTTTTTTTACTGAAATACTTCTTTGTTAACCACTCTAAACATCTATAATTACATTATTACGATATGTAACATAATGCTAATTAGGTGTAATTAGGTACCTACAAGTCTACAACATAATTATCTATTTCCTAATATAATAATTATTTACTACAGCAGCTGTAGCCAAATGCCATTTAGCGCTTGTCTACATGTAGAATAGAAAACCAAATTATATGGAATCGACGTAAATTTTTACACTTGTCAGTGTCATCCGCATACATTTTGATTTCTACTCTCTCTATAGACGTTTGGCTAAAGGCCCAGTGCCTTCCCAGGTGTCAAATTTTACGTCAATTCCATATAATTTGGTTTTCTATTCTACAAGTAGACAAGCGCTAAATGGCATTTGGCTACAGCTGCTGGTTACTCACGTAATCCGGCTCTAGGTGGATCCACAATAGCAATAATATCGTCCCCATCAGCCCTGGCGAGTACCGACGTCAGTATATCTTCGGCCTTGCCGGCGAAGAAGTCACAGTTCTGTATACTATTAAGCTCGGCATTTGCCCTCGCATCCTTCACCGCCTCCGTTATCATCTCCAAGCCTAATACTCTGCCACAGTGCTGTAAATAAAAGGGCGTAAAGTAAAAAGAAAAAAATCTTATTGAAGTTGTCAAGCCGTAAGAGCTAACTGTATAAGAACAAACCCTAGTTATAATGAATTTTTAATAAAATAAAGTATCGTGTGCATTAGCATATAACTGAACGAACCCCATAAACGACAGTGGCGCCAAATGAAAAGGTTAAGTTCTCATTAAGCTTTTACTGCATAATAATCAGAAGTACAGTAGCTATGAGGTATATGGTGGTGGCAGGGTTGAATCACTACATAGTATAAAACAAAGTTGCTATCCGCCGTATGTCTGTCCCTATGTATGCGTAGATCGTTAAAACTACGCAACGGATTTTGATGCGGTTTTTTCAATAGATAAATTGATTCTTAAGGAAGGTTTATATGTATAATACATGCATACTGAACCTGTGCGAAGCCAAGGCAGATCGCTAGTACTATCTACATTGTTGTACACTCATTTTAATAAACTTGTATTTACCACTATGTTATATTTAGTAGTATTATCAAAATCCTTACCGGAGCAAAGCATAGTCCAATAGTACCAGTACCGCAGCATATATCGAGAACCGTAGAATCCTTCTGCACTTGGCTCAGCTCGATCGCGCTTTGGTATAACACTTCAGCACCCGCTGTATTCACCTATAAAACAAAAATAAATAACAAAACCATTATGTTCCGATACTGCTCTATTTTTAGCGCTATAAGGTTCATTTTTTACCACCAACTGTGATTCCAAATGGAACAATGCTTTGTTTGAACCACAAATTGTTGGTTCGGATCTGGGTGTCACGTGCATGCAAAATTGTATGTTTGTAAACGCACCTACGACTCAAGAGAAAATCATAGAATCAATCTAATTTTTACACAAAATAATTTTAATTACCTGGAAAAATGCTTCGGGCGATATCCTGAACTGTTTGCCAAGTATAGTGTCGATGATATGTGTGGACCCTGATAGATGTACTGGTTTAGCTCCATCCTCGCCCACTCGTCTGTAAAATGAAATTAGTATTACACAGGCACCATTTTGGCTTAATTTTTTTCGTAGAAAATTTAAAGAACAAAAGTTTTTTATTGGAACTGCAGTAGTTACGACTTCCAGGTTTAGTTATCATGATGCACAATTTATCATATCAAACTTCACGTTATACAAACAATAAATGAGTAGATTTATATAAAAGTTTATAAAGTAAGTACATACTTTTTGACAACAAGTTCAAAATATAGAGATTTGATCCCACACGCGACAGCTTCCTCGGAATTAAAATGTTCGATTAAATCCCTTTTCACCTGATCTATTTCTTCTTCTGTAAGATTCTGAAAAGAAAATTGCAAATTATTAGAGATGCACCAAATATTCGGTTACTATCCGGTATCCGGTTTATCGGATACCGGATGGTAATGTACTATTCGGCCGGATACTGGATAGAAAACTTGGTAGATTTTATAAATGAAGTCTAAATAAAGACACAGTTGTAATTGAATCTTTTTATTATTTTAAACAATTTGAACTTTTTATAATAACAAGTCAAAACCTGCACGGCGAGCGGCGTGGCGGTACGCGACACGCACCTACGAAACTTAAAATGTAGGTATCACACTGCCGGCCGAATATTCGGCGGCCGGATACCGAATATTCGGCTGATGATCAGGCCCAATATCCGGTATCCGGTATCCGGCCATATACCTATTCATTCTCAAGTCGCATCTCTACAAATTATATTAACTAGCAAGCACTGCTCTGTAATCTATTCTGAATTATAAACTTTAGGACATAAGATTTATTTTCGTGTAAAATATTTGAAACTTACCTGAGGATGCATTACAACAATAAGCATGACGTCACCAGTGGAAGTGGAGTCCCTTACAGTGAGGAACCTCCAGTAGCCTGTGTAATCAGCTGGAGAGAACGGCGCCATCTTTGATTTGCGGACGAAGTCTTGAAACAGCTGAAATGTTTACATAATCACTATTATTTACGTACGAACATTTCATTTATACAGATGTACAGACATACAGATACCTATCGAGCTGTAGACTAGTAGTCTAGTGGATTAGATATGCGTTTAGTGGGAGGTTTTTTCTCGGTATAGGAACCATTGAGAGAGCTTAGTAGTGAACTAACAGACAGGACGAAACGCGGTAACGTTTCGATCTCAGGGTAATCCGATTGGCCGGCGCTAACAAACCAATCATAGCGCCGAACGCGTACTCGTTACGATTACTTTAAGCGTAGAAAGAACTCGTACTAAGGCCTCTGTACACGTAAAACGAACTCGTACAAGGCCCTTAAGAGTCGAACCTGCGATATCCGGCTAGATTCATTCAAGAGAAAGCGACATAATTTACACCTAACAAAATTTAATATATTGACTGCTTCGTTGGTCGAGTGGTCGCAAACGTGCGACTGCAAGGTGTCTCGGGTTCAATTCCCGAGTCGGGCAAAGTATTACTGAGTTTAAAAAAATCTCAGTTGTAGTACAAAGTCTGGAATTGTGCCCGGTATATGGCAATATGCTCACCCCTTATTACAAGGGACTCACAACATAAATAGTGAAAAGTGGGTGTTACATTGTACAGTGACATTATGTGCTGTAATGTGCACCTCTGGCTATCCCTTTGGGGATAAAAGGCGTGATGTTATGAAATTTGTAATGTATAATGTAATTGTAATGTATAATGTAATTGTAATGTATAATGTATAATGTATTGTAATTCTATAGTTCATACTGCATGCTGTTACCGAGAATACTTTGCTTAGACAGCTTAAAAGTCAAAATTTGTTAGGTTACTAATGAGGTATAAACATTTAAAAACACATATTCTTACCAAAACAGCCTTCTTAGTATTCTCAGAGATATGAATCATTTCTTGTATAGGTCCGACAGCCACAGTGCCAGTCACATAGCTGCCCAACCTGAACCCTACAGTGGGCAACTTGGTCTCCTCATCATACCCCACTGTGAACTCACATTTATTCCTATATCCCATTGTTACCGGAGACTTCTGGATTGGCCTCAGTTCAAAACTCAGGCCATTGTGAATCTTTCTGTTTGCTTCAATGTCATTACGTCTGTTCTTGTCTATCTTCCATCTTTCATTGTCAAACTTCATTAGTATCTGCTTTATTTCCTTTTCTTTCAGTTTTAACTGTAAACATAAATAGGACAATTAATCTCTTTAGGGCCGGAATATAAAAAACAATAGAAAATATATTGTGTATTGTGTAGATCTTTATTCGATTTGATTCCTGCACGGAACAACTCTTTGTGTGATCCACAGATTGTTGTTCCGAGTCTGGTTGTCATTTGATATTGTTTGTAAACGCACCCATGACACAGGAGAAAATCCTAGTGTAGGGCAACATTTTTTTTTTTTAATTTTGTAATATGTAGTGAGCACATTTATCCTATTTGTACCTGTTCCTCATAATCAATGTTCCAGTAAGGAGTGGTGGCATCCTTCAACTTCTGCACTTGACTTCTATTGTCCTCCTCTTTCTTCTTCTTATTCTGACCCACTTCGTCATCTTGCTTTCTCTTCCTAACTAATGGATCTGGAGCTGGTTTTGCTTCTTCAGCTATTAGAGTCTTTCCTGAAGATTTAAATTTCTTATCATTAACTAGCTTTTACCCGCGGCTTCGCTCGCGTCACAAAAGGATAAAAAGTAGCCTTGTGACATATACCAATACACACAGCGCCATCTATATCAATACTTTTGTCTTTCCTCGGGAATATCAATTTTTCCAGGATAAAAAGTACCCTATTATTTAATCCGGACTTCTAACATTACGTCTGCAAAAATTCAAAGCAATCGGTTTAGTAGTTACGGCGTGAAAGCGGAACAAACAAATAAACTCACTTTCCGATTTATAATATTAGTAAGGATGTATGAAATCCACCCAAGTATGTAGACAGATGATTTAATTGAGGTTGCAGGCAGCAAATGGATGCAGGTTGTTTCATAATGAACAAAAATTATTTATTTATTTAAGGGCAACCAACAAAGCATACACCAAAATACATGATAGGTATTTAACATATTTTAACATTGTATAGTGTAGTTTTAATTAAAGGCTGCCAAGACATGCATACAATAAAGAACAGGATATTACAGCAAAAAGTTCAATTATCAAAAAAAGACATCTTAACAATAGTTGTTACATCACAATTGTTAAATTATAATTTTTATGTTATAATATATTTTAGATATAATATAGGCTCACCCCCCATTACATGGGTCTCATAACATAAATAGTGACAAGTGGGTGTTACTTCTGTATGCACCTCTGCCTACCCCTTCTGGGATAAAAGGTGTGATGTTATGTCTAATTTAGAATATTTTCTTGGAATTTTAGTGCTACTCACATAAAATTATAAATAAAAGAAGATGGAGGCTACAATCTCTACTTTCATAGACTTATATAATGAAAAAAAATAATGTTATACATATTTACCCTTCCACGAATAACCATTGAGCGCCTCAACTGCACTCTTCCGATCCTCATCATTTTGGAAGCATGCATACAGCCACTGGCTGCCATTCCTTGGCCTTTTGATTTTACTTGTTTTTAACCCTAGTTTCTGGTTCATTAACTTTTTTAGTTCCTGAAAATTAAACTTTTTTTATTAGAGAAAGTAACATAAACATTATTATATTTATTTTATCCGGTAATGAAATTGTTATAAAGGAAATTTCACAATTAATCTGATATCCTTCCTACTTCCTACTAATATCATAAATGCGAAATTGTGTATGTTTGTTACTGCTTCACATCAAAAAGGCTCAAGAGATCGGAATGAAATTTGGAATAGGGGTAGATTATGCTCTGGAATAACACATAGGCTACTTTTTATACCACAAGAACCAGCACACATTCCCAAGGTATCCAGAAGCTAGTAATATTCCAAATCACAATGGTTGTTCAGTTAAGCAAAAACTTAAAAAATAACATTTGTTTACATGTCTAATTTTGTACACACTGTATTAGAGTGGTGTATAACTTTGGTAAGTTTCAATAAATCTGTGATTCATAGCTAATTATATAAAAGTCCAGCTGTTATCTTACCGCTATTCCATAAAATTTGGGCAAACCACGCAGTTCAATTTTAAACTTTTCTGAAGAGAAACCTCCTCGATCTAAATACGCATATTCTTCTTCAACTTGTTCTTCTTTGACTTTGAGAACTTCGTCAACAGTACCGACTGTACCATTTTCCTCTGCCATTCTTAAAACTTTAAAGCAAACAAAATAAATAAACTCACTATTTACTTTCGTAAAAGTTTTGATTCGAGTTACGTTTTGAGGTTATGTTTCTGAGTCTATGACTACCGGCGTGTTTTCATATCTGTCCTTTTCTGCCAAAAAGAAAATCGTTAAAATGTGCGTAGGATCGACTATGGTATTATGCCTTTAACTCAAAAATAGGTAACATTTATGTTCTGGAACACAGCACAACTGACAGTGACGTGACAACAGTGTGCTATTCGTTTAGAAATGATAGGTATAGAATTTTTAACAGCGCCTTTCGCATCACTTGGTGGACTTAAAATTATAAAACTAACTTCAACCAGCGGCTTCGGCCGCGTTCCCGTGAAATAAAAACTAGCGTATATGTTATTCTAGAACATATTCTATTCATGTAGAAATTTCGTCGCGATCCCTTCAGCAGTTTTGACGTGATTAACAAACATAAAAACAAAGAACACGCCTGCAACGCACCTGTGACACCTCTGGTGTTGCGGGTGTCCATGGGCGGCGCTGATCGTTTACCATCAGGTGATTCGTCTGCTCGTTTGCCTCCTATTCCATAAAAAAAATGTACAATATAACACCCACTTATCACTATTTATGTTATGAGTCCCATGTCATAGGGGGTGAGCCTATTGCCATATACCGGGCACAATTCCAGACTCCGTGCTACTACCGAGATTTTTTAAAAAAACCCAGTAATACTTTGCCCGACCGGGTATCGAACCCGAGACCCCTTGCCCGGCAGTCGCACTTGTGACCACTCGGCTAACTAGGCTATGTGATATAAAGATTAATAAATTATAAACACACAAACTTGTGTCAGATTCTGTTTCCTGAAGGGTAAGGGTGTCTTCAAGTCCGGAGTCAATAGGTTGCTTATGTGCAGACGTGCTCTATCGTAGTCCGCATCATCGTCTACCACCAGGCCAAACGTCGGATCATTAAATAAATATATAAAAAAAAGCTTTCACATTCACATTTCTAATGTTTGTAATGTTACAGTTCGGTTTCAGAGGAATGTTCTCTCACGGACCCTCCGATTGTGGAATGAACTCCTTGCCGTGGTTTTCCCAGTGGGTTATAACATGGGGTTCTTCAAGAGGGAAGTGAATAAGTTTCTTAAGGGTCGGCAAGACGCATGTAATGCCCCAAGTGTTGCAGGCGTACATAGGCCACGGTAACCGCTTACCATTAGGTGGGCCGCTAGCTTTTTTGCCACCGTCGTGGTATAAAAAGAATAGTAAGATTTTGTTCATTTTTATTTGTCCTCAATTTCTCACCTTTTGTTCCAAACCTCATATTGTATAATGTTTCTGTAACTTTTTCGCATTGATCAATCAGATATTTAGTAAAAACACTTGTGGACAAAGTAATAAAAATCAATTTGTTAAACGTAAGATATATTTCTTTAAGATATTATAAACAATAAATAAAGTTTGAAATAAATAAGTTACATTCGGAATAGATTTAGAAAAGTCTTCGTACAAAAGGCTACCTAAATATGGAAGTAAGATATACTATCACGATAGAATAGCACGTTATGAGGTATTTAGTCTAGTTTTTACATTTAAGTACATTTACATTAAATACATTTTATTTGCTCACAATAAAGCCTTACAATAGGTACAAGAGAACACTACTAATTTATAAGTATGTAAAGCTATTTTTATGTACTTCTGTGTAAACTTCGATCAACAATAACAACTAGATATCGGGTCAGGGCAAGAAAATCGTCTCGACAAATAAGAGCTCACTTGAGAAGTGAGCTCTTATTTTGTTTAGTATGCTCCAAACACGGCCAACGTACTCACGTCTCACGATGCCGCAGTGCATAATTGCAAGTTGCAAAAATAACAACCGAAAAAGCAGTATAACGGCTGGAGTGTCTTACTTTTGATAAGTACATAAAGTATAAGTTATATTTTAAGCTTTTAAACTAGTAAATAATATCAAATTAGACAAAATTATCAATTATAAACCAACGCCACCAATGTTTGTGCGTGTGTTGGCGATTCCTTGGCCAAGCCTCGCCAACATTTGTTTAAACAGAACAGTGGATGCATCGAGTCGATTTGTATTGAAAAATAAAATTGTATTGTTTCTTGCTCGTTCTTCTCCATAGGAATCTACACCTTGGAATGAGCAAATAGCTTCACTTTTAAATTTATATTGTTGACGTTCAAAAGTGCCTTCCTGGTCTAACTGAAATAAATGATTTTGACTTAGACTTAGACTTTTAATGATAAAGTAAATAAACATATCATACACAAAAACGTACCGCTAATAAAAATTAGTGATGTATACTAAGATCCCGAAATCTTAATTTTCATATTATAAAATTATTTTAGTGTCCAACGCGACTCCATACATACCTCCTGTAGCGAAATTCGAAATTTGAAGAAGCAAAACGTAACAAAACAAAACGATATAGATCGCAAGACAATAATGGAAAAATTATCTTTATTTGTTCGAGCTTAAGGTTGAATTCAAACTAAATATTGTATAACTTATGTCTTTTAATTTCTACATGACAGGAGTAAGAAAATACTTTTCTTGTCTTATGTGACGAATGGTCGTAAGTATTAGATAATATTTTGACGATTTATGACTATATTATTAGGTGCCATGGTTGTTATTAGGTTGAACTTAAAACTATTTTAAAACATTTTTCTCTGTTTGTTATTTTTTTACTATTATTATTCACACGGACAGAACTGGAGCTTGATTTTGTACGTAACCCTTTATCTAGTTGTTATTGTTGATCGAAGTGTGTAAAAGAAAATGATTCTAATTGCCAGTTTTATAAAGTGTATATTATATGATATATATGCTGGCTTCTATTGATCATAGCACGATATTTCATAACCTTTCGTGAAAACGTCATGTTTTATAGATAACAATCTAGTAAAATTAATAAATTACATTTATTTGCATGAACATTGCTTTGGTTAAATAAATAAATTTTAGATATTATTGCAATCTCTGTTTCTGAGGGCTTAGTAAAACGAGATCGAAACGAGACCGCGTGAGGCGTTCTGATTGGCACCCACCAATGAACCAACCAATCAGAGTGCCGAACGCGTACTCGTTACGATTACTTTAAACCTAAATCAAACTCGTACTAAGGCCTCTGATTCCTCTGAACCAATCAATCAAAGCGCCTTACGCGGTCTCGTTTCGATCTCGTTAAACATAAAAAAACTAGTACTTAGCCCTTTGCATTCCATACTTAAATTATAACGAAATATAATTATACCTACATGTGCGTCGACATTATTGCGTTCAACTACAAACTATCCGCGTACAAATTAAGAAAGACTTCACGTCGATAATTTCCTAGGACATCTTTCATTCCTTCCCGGAAAATAATATTACTAAAAGAAAATATTAGTTTCATTTATATAAACATAATTAAATACTATTCTATTATGTACTTATTTCTTTGCTCCAGGGCTACGCATGAAAGGGTAATATGCAAATGACGATTGATGGATATCCAACCCTAAGACTAAGGATATAAGAATATGTTTGTCAATCAAGCATAGATGATTACAGAACCATACCAAGGTATATTCACCCTTATAACACTGCACAACCCATTATAAATTAAACCTTATTCCAAGTGCTATGTGGTCCCATTTGCATTCTTCACAAACATTTTTTTAAGCGCATCTTTGTCCTGTTCCTCTTTTTGTTTTCTTAATTTTTTTATATGTTCGAGTTCTTTGTCGACTGTTGCTGACATGGACGGATTTAAAGATTTTAGTCTTTTGAAGTCTTCTTCAGCATCGTCAGGGTTCCACGCGCCTATGTGAGCCTTACCTCTTCTGTAGAGAGCTTTTTCGTTATCTGAAAAAAAGTATAAGTTTACGTAAGTTTTGTATGGATGGACTGAGTTTGAACTGCTTCGCTGATTGCTAGTCTTCGAACTGTGACCGGTCACCACCGAACCTAACTGTCGACTATATGTCACGTCACGTGTTCAAGCATGGGGATCATGGCAAAGCCCCCTTTAAGAGGTAGGCTTTTCTTCAGCGGTGGAAGCCTTCTGACAGAAATTGAGGAACTTATTAAGAGTATATTAAAAGAAGTAAACCATACAATACCTTTATCATATTCTAGAACAGTATTACAGTGTTCTATGACAGCGTAGTACTCTCCATTGATCAGCTTACACTGCGCGTAGTTCAGTAGTATCGGCAGCTTTACTTTGTTCAGCTCCGCCCATTCTTCATCACCTTTCCTTTCCCTGTAAAATAAGATATTAGGAATGAAAAGTAAAAATAAGTAGAAATAGTTAAATTAACATTGCTTCAGTTATACACTTGTGGTAATGAAACTTCGGAAAGTAAAGCAATCGATTAACTTCATGTAAAGTGTGCGAGACATGCTTCGACACGGATGTGCCGGCTCGACCGGGGTGATACCACGGCCTCAGAGGAAACCGACGTCTGCCAGAGGCCCAATTAGCCCCCCCCCCCTCTGCCTAATTCCTCAATCCCTGAATCCCCAACAATCTTCGAATACCCCAAAAGGTCGGTAACGCACTTGTAAAGCCTCTGGTGTTGTAGGTGTCCATGGGGGATGCCGATAGCTTACCATCAGGTGATCCGCCTGCTGGTTTACCGACTTATCACATAAAGGTGATTGTGAATCATGATTGTACAATCACCTTTATGTGATCATGATTGTACATACAATCATGATTCAATAATAATAACTGATAGTACTTTGAGTGACCAACTCGTAAATCGTGAGAAAAATATTCATCTCTGGTATAAAATATGGTAATAATTAATATGAAGATATATTGTAGAGTTTTAATTTAATTACCTGACCATAAGTTGTTCACAGATATACAAAGCTTCACTGTATGCGTCCTCAGCCTCTTTGTATTTCTTCTCTACATATAGTTTGTTGCCTTTCTCTCTGAGCATGGGTATGAGGTCTGTCCGCTCCTTAGCATTCAACTGCCACAACTCTTTCTCATACTCATCTGATCTCTCCACTTTTAGTATTTCTAGAAAGACATAGAATATAGATAGTACTACATAATGTGTTCTTACTTGTCATAGTAACTTTTATTTCAGAGGGCTTTGGAAGATAAGATCATAAGAATTAAATGCGACATTACTGAAAAAACTGCAATATTCCTTGTCTTTAACTCGGGAAACGAACCCAAGATTCAGCAGTTATAATTAAAAATCAGTATCTAATAAGATAATTACTTCTCGTTGTTGCTATTGGATCAATAGAAATCCCGACACACAGATCTAATTTGCCGATTTCCCTTACTGTAATGTACAGTTTATACAAATACATACATAACTTCACGCCTTTTATCCCCGAAGGGGTAGGGAGAGATGCCCATTACGGCACTTAATGCCACTGTAGAATGAACACCCACCCTTCACCATTTTATGATATGAGTCCCATGTAATAATGGGCTCACCCCATTGCCATATATACCGGGCACATTTCCAGACTACATTCATTTCCGTGCTACTACTAAGATTTTATGAAAAAAACCCTATAACACTTTGCCCGAACCGGAAATCGAACCCGAGACCCCCCGCTCGGCAGTCTTGCGACCACTCGGCCAACGAGGCAGTCATATAAAAAGCAGTCTTATACAAATATTATTTGTTAAAATAGAAAAGTATGAACTCAAAAGAACCATATTGAATAACAATAAATAAACCTCAGTAACTCATAACAAAATCAATATCAGACAATATATTGATATAAATGTGATAAGATAACAGTTGAGTGGTTCTGTTATATTGATGAGTATTACATTTTGGGCTCTTTTAATTAATTATCCATGTGGTTTACCCAAGCTCCATCTATTTTTTTGCTAAATTTCATCTTCTTGTGTTCAGTAGTTTTTATGATAAAGAGCTACAAATGTCTTGCACAATTAATATTATTATTATTTTTCTTTTTTGGGTAAACTTATCAATCAAACAGTTTGTATTCATTTATAAAACAACTATTTGTTCTGAGCATAAACAACCTAATTGATGTGATTGCTGTTTGACACAAATAATATTGCAATTAAATAAAACGATAGAAGGAAACAAAACTCAATATTTGTTATCCCGATAAAATACAACAAACATAATTCCTGTAGAAACTGAATAAAACAGAATTTTAGGTGGAAATATTATCATCTTAGACTTGTTTACAGGAAATTACTCACCTATGATAAATTCCAGGTCACATGGGTTCTTCATAAGGTCATCTAAGTCTGGATGGCCTAGGCCTTCCGTGTGTAGGGTCATGGTACATGAATGCTTTATTTTATGTTGTTCCTGTCCTAACTCCCGTAGAGTTTTTGATATGAAGGGGTAACTGAAGACTAGCTGTGGATAAATATTTCTAGTTACTATAGTTTATATCCATCCTCAATAAATGCACTATCCAACACAAAAAGAATTATTCAAATCAGACTTGTAGTTACGGAGATTAGCTCGTTCAAACAAACAAAAAAACAAACTCTTCCGCTTTGAATAATAGTATAAGATATAGAAGATTATAGGTAGTTCCTATTTGAATGTAGATAACAACATTGTATACTGTTGTGTTTGTTTTAAGCATAATAAAATTATGATTGCTGTTGAGCTTGAGGTAATAATATAATAATATGTATAATATGCTATAGGACTAATCTACTACTAATCAAATAATGTTTGAATACTTAAGTTAATTTATTTTGTGAATATATTAACTCGTCGAGTACCGTCATTATAGACACAATTATAGAACAATAGGTTGCGGTCACCGGTGACCGCTTGGTGTTTGACAGTTTAATTAAAATTCTAGAAGAGAGGAACTAAAAGTAAAAGAAAACTTTTACTTTTCCTGGGTCTACCAACTTGGTTGTGAAGTTTAAGTAAGTATTAATTGAAATTATTGGATTAAAGATAGAGACTTGCTCATCAATGACCTAGGGTTACCTAATAAAGTATTTTATGATACATAGTAACATGGCATTAGCTCATGTACTTGAAAGATGAAGATTGCCTTGTTGGCTGAGTGGATGTAAGTGCGACTGCCAGGCTCAGGTTCGATTCCCGGGTCGGGCAAAGTATTACTGGGTTTTTAAATATTCTCAGTAGTAGCATGGAGTCTGGAATTGTGCCTGATATATGGCAATAGGCTCACCCCCTATTACATGGGACTCATAACATAAATAGTGAAAAGTGGGTGTTACATTGTACAGTGGTATAATGTACACCTTTGCCTACCATTTCGGGGATAAAAGGCGTGATGTTATGTTATGTTAAAAGATAAATCGTATAATTACCTCTTTTTGTACTTTAAAACTGGAAACTTCTCCTACAGCCATCATTTTGACTATAGTTTCCCAAACTTCCAATTTAAACTTATGTCCTATCACTAATACCATGGGTTCCTTCTTTCCAATCTTCTTGCTGTCATCAAGCAAAACCCTTTCCTTTCCTAGTTTCCATGTTTGGAAGTGGAAATGTACCTGCAATAATAAAGTAAGCAATAAAATACATTGTTTACCTTTATGGAAGCTACGATTAGAAGAATATTCATTATCATTACCTTACTGCCGTTAGCAATAGGAATATATTTTTGCCCAGCGTAAATAAGGCTTTTTACAATAGGAGCTGGTTGAGTCATTTTATATGGCACTGATAAAATTCTATTTAAAGAAATATTTATTATTTTCACACCACAACCATACGTGATTTCGAATTAGAATTTTTGTTTCTGACAAAATGACATTGTCATTTGTCAATCTTTGGCAGTGACTTAATGTTGCTCCAGTTTGTATCAATAAAGTACAATTTAATAGTTAGTATATTTTTTGTAACTCGACGTCATTCGCTAAACTGATAGAATCATGATTATGTGTAAAATGTTATCCAACTTAATTTACTTCTCAAATGATAATGAAATTGAATTGATACATGCGTTTTTTGTTAATGTATTGTGAATTTGTTAACATTGGTAAATGATAAAATATGGTAATGGCCATCATATCATTTCTTCGTGCTATATTCGTACACATGGCCATTTGTTATTTTACTACATTCATAACTGGTGAGATAAGAATATGTGAACAAGATTACAATCGTATATTAAAATAAATAATACAATGTACTTTCATTGATTGACTCTTTATTTGGCAACACAAAAAAATACCAGAACTGACAACATTACCAAATAAAATTAAGGTAAGGTTTCACAAAACAAAAGTGCAGTGAGCCACAAACCCATCACAAATAACCGTAACACAGTAATAAGATATACCTAGAACGTCATCGCTTTTCATGCTTTTCACAAGCTTTTAATTACTTCTTGGCAAAAAGTTTGTAATAAATAAGGTCGCTAGTATCGTACCTGTGGCAACCTGGTAAACTACGACTGAACTGGTTTTGATATTTGTTATTTTTATCGAGTTTAAAAGAGTATGTTTGGATGATTGTTTATTCATGGGATATTTGGATGTATTTCAATAAAAAACTTAAATAACAACTATTACTTAAATAAAATTAAAACTAATAAGGGGGGAAAATCATCGAATGACTGCCCCCGCCTGGGTGAGGCGGGAGGGAGTGTCAGACTCTTACTGACTAAAAACCACCCCGTTCCTTCTCCTGCACGTCGAGCCGGAGCCCCGGTTACCCGTTAGGTTCTCCGCGAC